TCTTTGCCTATCCATGGAAAAACGATTTAAGGCAAAGTAAATGGTTCGGCAGATTTTAAAAATTAATTTTTGATGCAAACAACTAGCAACAAATTATTCCTAAAGTCTGAAAACAATCTGACTTAAATAAATTCAAAATTCAGCTGCCTCCGGAATTTTACATCCAGAAATATTGCAAGTTCTAAGTAACGCACTAACTAAATATCATATTTTCGAAAACCCTTCATGCCATGATCCCTGATTTACTTCATACACGATTAATTCGCAACAGTGCATTTACGGGGTTTATGGCGAAAAAGATGTCAAAGGATTCAAGTTGCATCCATGCCGGTTTCACGTATAATTAATACGGCTGCTGACCTGGAGGGTCTGATGCACGCACCAACGATGAATACATGCACAAACGCATCGAAAGTGCATCGGCCCAATACGGTGCCTGTTCTGAACTCCTGATACCGAGTATGTAGTTTCAAGTCATGCACCCGACCTATTCGACCGAGTACTTGCAGTTGCACTCGATCTGTTGCGTCACGAAAATGCACTTTGTCATGCGACACGCAGAAATGCATCAGGCTAGTTGCTAGAGTTTCAGTGCCATCTGATTTTTGCTTCAGTTAGGTGCTAAACTTAATTAGTTTTTCTTAGAAATTTACCATTAGGTCATACATATCCAAATAGGGAATTTGAAAATAAGAAAAAAGTATTATTGACCCCGATTAGTTTTACCCTAATAATTATTGGGCGGCTATTCATTTTTCAAAGTATATTATAATTGTAAGCGCAATAAACTTTGCAACTGTTTCCCATCTTTACATTTTTCACTGGACAACAGTCCTAGGAAATCATGATGCTAAGTGAAATGGTTTTGCGACCTAGATATAGGTACTCATGTTGATCATAAAGTTTGTAATATCCAGATAGCGATAGATAAGCGAGTGTAAAGGAAGTTTAATCTAATTGCTGTTAGGTTTCGCACAAGGGACTATTTTAATATAAATACTCCAGTCATGTCACTGTGAGATAACACCCTTTTCAATATTTTCTTGGATAAAATGTCTATGCAAACCGTGCATCAGGAATTTTATATATTCATTAAATAAAACATCGGCATCCAAATATATATAGATAATTGCCAAAACAATAGAGAGATGTGTCGGTCTCGCAATCGGATTCGCTGCATTAAATGATAACTCCACCCGAAAATTGCAATACAACAATAAAGCCAGAGACAGACAATCTATTTAATCGACAAATAAATAAATAATAATAAACAAATCGGGTCTTTTTGTTTTATTTAAACTAATACGAGTGCATTTAGTATATTTCGTATCAGGAGCGCAGCGCAATGCATTGGTAAACCGATACGTAGATGGTCTCACAGAATGGACTTCCTGGTGCATGCAACGATGCATCCAGTCTCTTCGTCAAGGTCATTGCACTTAGATATAATTGCACTTTTTTTTCGATGCAGACAAACAAAATGCAGTCAGAATTAAGATATTGCTGGCTTGAGATAACTAGCAATTTAGTGTGCACGTTAATGTTTTCGATGCAATTTATTGCACGTGCATGCAAGGTTGCAATCAGTTTGGTATCTTTAACAACGTCGTAATATACATTGAAAGGAAAGTCGAAAAGGTCCTCCTTTTCGCATTTTTAACAAGCGTTGTGCATTTCAGAAATATGATGGAATATTTAAATTCGCTTGCCTTTAACTTAAGGCAATATCGGAGATTAATATCTGAAAATGATATAATATTCACCTATGCAGAAAACGCTTGTCTATTTTTAAAAGCTGGTTGTGGTATCTAGAATCAACATTTTTGGCCAAGAGGTTAAGTACCTACGTAGTTAAATCTGAATATCTCTAAGCTGAAAATAGTAGTCCTTTGAGTAGTTGAACATGTCTTTCACTGTCTTGATAAAAATAATCGTTAACAAACCTGACAAAGTAGGAGAGTTCACTTTGCTACTAATTGCTTATCAGAAAGTTTTGAATCATGCCTTGTAAACGACACCCGGAAGGCATTTTCCGAATGGCCAGCAGTGTAATTCAGGTCTCAACCTGATGCTGTAGGCGCATTTTTGAAATGGCAGCCAAAAATAAAGAACTTCTTTAATTCTAGTATTACTTCAATTATTATTTGAAAAAATGTTCTATGAGGGAGGTTTTGATTAAACAAGGCATGTGAACTAATCAGCATGTTTATCCATGGCTACAACTTATTTTAACAAGAACGAAATAAAAAGCAGTGAAGTTTTTAGATTTCAATAGAACTTGTTTCGGGGCTCTGTAAATGATTGGAGCTTAGAGTGGTTTAGAATTTTAATGCAAAGTAGCATAAAACAATAATAACATTAAAAGTTTCACAATAATCCGAAAAACTTCCATTTTTCCGCATCTGAGAGATCTTAAATAGAGTACAAACTTACACATAATTGAGTCTCACGGTCTTCATTGTCAGATGATTCTATACTTTTCCAAATTTAATTAATTGTGTTTAAAAATTTTTTGTTACATGCCGCTCACGCCAAGAGGGTTTTTTTATTTCATCATCCAGAACTTATATAAAATTTAGTCACATTACAGTTCATATGGGCCTTTGCACTAATCTCTAAATGTTAAAAGCACTTCAACTAATCTTTCGAATTTATCGCTTAATATATCGAAACGATCACGTTAATTTTTCTTTCCAATTAATGGAAATATTTGATAGGTATGTGCTGAATGAATAAGTTATTAATCATCCTGAAATTTACTCAACGGTTGGCTCTTCAGGTTATCAGTTTCTCACGCAAAGTCCAAAAAAGAAGGTGGATCTTTATGTAATAATCTGGGTCGTTATTAGATCATTAGAAGGTCAATATTCTTTCATTGGAATCATTCAACAGTATAGCCATAGTGGCAAATCACAAACTTATAATACTTTATCGTGGTCAGCAATTGCCTGTTTTTTGTAAAATTGGATGTTTTGGGTCCTCAAACAACATTCATATACCGAAACTAGAAAAAGTACATTTGTAAATATTTTTGTTTAAACGTTTTAGAAAAGTAGATACATATTGTTGAAATAGTTAGTGTATTCGTAGAGCGTCTTTATTGAGATGTTTCTTAATCAACAGATGATAATTACGATTAACTAATGAAAATGTAGATTAATGCAAATGAAATACAACCACTCAACGCCTTTTTAAATGTAGGTAATAAAACTGAAATAGTTAAGCAATCAGAATTAAAAATGATGAACAAGCACCAAGCATTTGTAGGAGAGAAACTGTGAAATTACCACTAATCGATAATTCATCGATATAATATAACAGAAATCATCTGCTAAATGTGTCTAAGATGATAATTTACATGAAATCAATAATTATCTGTTAATCAGTAAAATAAGCTTAATTACTTTGCCAAATTTCAGTTCTTGCGAACCATGTTATTTGCACACTGACTATTCATTAGGATATACCTAGATCGCTATTTTTATTAACACCGTGGGATGAATTATTTATTTAGTTAGTTCTTGTTTCCAAGGTATTTTCTTAATAGTTTCAATACTGATTTTGATACATAAAATACTAGCATGACTAAATGAAACTAAACAAAGTGTTTATTAGTTGAACACGAGCAACCTCGTATTGAAATTAAATGCTCGAATTTCAACCCGAATCGCTCCTTCGTTTACTTTTCCATGTTCAAGTTTTCACAGTTCAGTTAAAAATTTTAATCCTGCAAATTTAGGGGCTCTTAAAATTTTCTCTTCTGAGTAGGCGATAAATAAGTGTTGATGTGCTGGTGCACTCAGATAAATGACGATTGGTGTGAAAGCAACACGAAAACGCTTTTGGCCACTGGGGAGTGTGCAAGCGGAAATTGATCCCTGGGATCTTTCAGAATCGAATGTGAATGTTTTGACTAGAGAGAAACATTTGTCCCTGACGCAAATAATTTATCGGATTTTAGTCAGTCACAAGCTAGTAAAACTGTTCATTGTTCAATGTTACCTAAACTGAACCAAAATTATATGTATAGTTGATATCAATCCAGAATACGAAATTGCTAGTGGATATGCAAAAAGTTCCATAAAGGAAATTTGGCATGGATTTTAGAAGTTTTCTTTTACGACGGAGAATTTCCGGGCGCAAACATTGAGCCCTTTCTCTTATAGCCTTCCTTCTGAAGCAAACCTTTCCATTCTAAGCGGGAGTTCCAGGTATTTCGAGCCAATCTTTAAATCTCATTTCCGTTTGTATTTTCTTTTATTGAAGTTAGACGCCAGTTGAATATTGCCAGGTTATTAAGGCAAACGAACTCTAAAGTGAACGTCGCGTGAAAAATTGCGGAGATCCGAAAAACCAGAAGTTAGCAGATATTGAATTACAAAATATCAAGGATTGGGTAAATAGATCATTAATGCTAGTCATTAGAGCAAGGAAGTTAATTTTGAATCCAATTTTCTAAGTTCGACTTTCATTTTGATTTCGACTTTGTCTAATATTATTAGTTCCTGCCGGAATTTTATGAAATTTAATTGTTTCAGCAGAGGAAATAAAGAACGATAATTAAATTTTCGACTCATTCTTTCATTCTACTTCAAAATTCAACTAGTATTTCTGTGGCATTTTTTTCTTTCATGTTTATAACAGTAACTGCTCATGTTGTAACTGGAAACAATGGTCAACTATATTTACAAATGATTATTTTGTGGATCAAGAGATGTAACTTTTAGGCACTGATTAGAATACGGAACCGACGTTAATTTCTTAATATTTAGTCGCTCTATTTAATGCCATTAATTTGGGACAAATTCAGATTTCGTTTACAAACACTCTACCCAAGAGTTGTTTCAGTTAATTTACTGACGGAAATGTGGAAAATCACGGAAATCGAACGGAACTGAAAATATATTCATTGTCGATGCAAAGCACACGGAGTAACAAAAATTAACCGAACTGTGCTAATGCATTAAATAAATCATATTCCTGTCTACTCCGGTAACAGTCGTAATAGAATTCCAAGTATTCTACTAACATGGACATTAAATCTGAAATAAATTAATGGATTTTGTAAAGAAAGCTCTTTGTATATTTGTGTAACCTAATTAATTTTTGAAGTCGACTGGAGCTGAAGTCTGCTTTGCACGCTCTCTTGATTGATTGTCGTGTTCCAGAATGAGCAATGTCCGTTCTGAAACAAAACCAACACTATATTGCCGACAAAGGTCAAAGAAGCAATCCGACTAACTAAGATGTTATTCTTAAAATAAGTGAATACATTGTATTCAACCTTTCAGTAATAGGCGGACCTGAGTGGACCATTTATAGACCAGATGGTTTTAGTTTGCGGTTTTCTTCTTTTTTAATTGGAAGCGACTGAAAATATAAAATAAAAAATGTTTCTGTATTTGTGCAATGAGTTTAGTTGCAATAAGCAGAGGTATGAATCCTGATCAATCAGCTAGGTCGTACTATCTAATCAGTCGTCTAAACAGAACTCTAATATTTCTCTTAGGCTATGAGGGAAACACTTTTTATGACAACCGTTGTTATTCTAAAAGCGTTTTGCAATTCCGTTCAGACCGTTCTTTGCGAAAGTCCTGCCGAAAAAGTTGTGCTATTTTCCTCCCCCAAAGGTTACGGTGACATTGCTTAATCAGTGTTTATCACACACAGTCTTCGCAATAAAAATAATTTGAGCTTTGTCTTTTGCCTGTATTGCGGCGTTATTGTTTGGCAGATTATTCGGATTAAGCGTCGACCAGTCACAGTAAAGATTTGTTAATAACACCATCCCTACCCATAAAAATTCCCAATCCAATAATTGGTTTATTATCAGTTCCTTGATGTGATCAATTGTGACTAAAAGAATGCAAAAATCTGTTTGATGGGCTTTATATTAATGCAGATCATTGCAAACAATAAAAAATCCGGTTGAGCTTTATAGTAGAAAACAACAGAGGGAAAGGAACACACTAAAACCATAATAAGGGAAAGGGAATATAAAAAATGGGGGAATATTTCATATTTTCCTTCGCCCTTCGAATAAATATTTAGAGTTCGGTTGGAGTCGCTGCAAATAAAGACCCTCGTTGTTGTGTTCAGTCAGGCACATTTATTTTAGTTTTGTTTTGTCTAACACACAAATCAAATATATTCCGGTTTGTTTGGTTTTAACACAGATTTGCAGCTCCTAATTTAGCTCAAAGTGCTATTTGTTGAAAATTTTCTGTAAAAGTTTGCAATATTTTGAAGTTTGTTCTACATTGAATTTTTTCATTTTGTTCTTTACTCATTTGTTAGTTAAGCTAAACATGCTTTTCTTATTTGTCTATATCGTTTAAAAATAAATCATAACTTGGCTAAGTCGTTGTTTACTTGGGCTGAGGTTTTTCAACCCTCGAAAGGTTCAATTATTATTATTCGATAATCTTCTATAAAAGTCAGGTTTACGCATAAATTAAGAAATTGTAGTTAAAAAATATGTTTTTTAAATTACTGCCCTTTGGACAATATGTTTGCTCATAATGAACTTCCAATAATGTAATATGGAAATTATTATGCGTAATGGACATTGAATAAAAGTTTAGGTGAAATTTAAGTCGAGCGGAATATTTCGGCTTTTTCAGTTTTTTTCATTTCGATATGGACGCTTTCATTGTGTAGCCATTACAAACTAGGATTCTGACGATTTTTTAAAATCTTGTGTTACATGTTATAATTTATGAGTAAATCTAAATGAGTTGAGTCTTATATCAGCCGGTTTAGAAGTTCTTGATGTAAAGTTGAAGACTGAAATACGAGCTTTTCCACTAGAGCCATTGCTTAATCTAGTGTAATAGATAAATGCGTATTTTCTCAGTGGGGTTTTTTCACTTAAAATATTATTTTATGAAAGGCCAAGTGCAGTTGCGCAAATCCCGTTAGTTTAAAATATATGCGACATCGAAATTCTATATAGCTTTAAAGTATACCTACTATAAACCGTACCAAGTACTCGTAAATTAGATGAAATATGATTATTAAGCCGCAACTGCCGACATTTTGGACTTTTTTACGATCTAGTATTAGCTACGTATAAATTATAAACGCAATTCTCTATACTAATAGGAATTCAAAGTTCACGTAAGATGATGTCGGCACCGGTCTTTCAATTCCGCTAATAGTACTTACGTAAGTTGATTTTGAAATTTACAGTGCCTGCTTTTATGTGACAGCTTCCTGTAAGTTTTGAAGCTAAATCTACTTTTTTTTTCTAGTCAAACTGTAATTGCTTTGTTTTTTTTAATCCCTTAATTAATGGTTCGATTTCTAAAGGGTCTAATTTATGTTTTAGTGGTGGTATTAAAGTGGTGGTTATCTCGGTGCCAGTCTAGAAAAAAGCCATTCCGAAAGTAAAGAATTAGGCCCTAATCAACCCTGAAATGCGACGGAAGTTTTTCCATCTCACTAATTATGCTTTGCCGAAGGGCATTTCGAAGGAGTTTAATTAAGAAAATTATACAGAAGACCATTTTGCTTTTGTAATGGATGCCCCTGGTTCGAGATGGAAGTGAAATGAATGCAGTAGCTACGTTTTCGAATGAAATTATTGAGAGCACGAACATGAAGTGAAGTAACAGCTTAAATTTGGATTGGTTTTACTCGAAATGAGTATGTGAAAAATATGTTTCAAAAAAATTGCAGAAACCTGTTTGCAACAGACCAAGTGTGACTTGTGCAGATTGTTCTCTGACACTAATTTACCCACAAATTTAGTGTCTTTTTATCAAAGGCGTGTTGCTAGTTTTGTAAAACCCACTGCATTTCAATTTGATGAGCAGAAATTAACTTTACGTAGTAAACTTAATAACATTTTACGATTCCAGACAAATTGTGCTCTAAAGAGCATGTCAACGGTTTCGCCATATTTCTTGGAACTTTATTTTCAATTGGTAAATTGTGAACATAGTCGTTCACAGTTGACGAACATTGTCCGACAATCAACGCTGAAATGACAAAATTGTTTCCCAAAAGAATTCCTTATCTACGAATGAGAATTCGAGCGAACGGATGGCAAACCGGAAGTCATTAAAAGCAAAAAGGAAATTATTTCTTGCGAATAAAAGAGAAACGTGAAGCACGCTTGTAATTGGTACTTTTTGATACAAATTATTCGCTGTTTGAAAATAATATGTTCCTCAGTTTTATCGCTTTCTGCTTACTCCAATTCGTTCTTTTGTATTGGTTCAATATTAGGTTTCGTTTATATATATGTTTGCTTGTTGTTGTTGTTGTTATTATACTCTGCTTACTTGTCTCCCTTCCAGGAATTGTTCAGAATGTTTTTCCAACGCAACAATTTTTGCTAGTTCTGTTGATAGAGTTTTTCTTGTGCCTTTAATACATGTTACTGTCTGTTTGCGATTCTTCCAGCATGCTGTAGGCAAAATCCTGCTTGTCGTTGCTACTTCTCTATCTAGTTGTTTTTCTATCCTTCTGACAAGCGCGATGACCGTTTTTCTTACATTTTCCTTTACGTGTTCATGCTTCGTGCCTCATAGTTTTGTCCAATTTTGTCTCAATGTTTTCATTAATTTTCAACGACATTTAGTTTTCATCCCTTCTAACCATCACTAAATTGTTACTTGAACAATATTGAATGTTTTTAAGGAAGCTCGTCTATTTTCCACTGTTATAAATATTAGCCTGGAACCCTTTCCCGTCAGTATGCACAGTGGAACAATGAAGATCTATGGATTATATTAGAAAGAGAAAATTGGTCCAAAAGTTGGCCAACCACATTTGTTTATTCTTAGCAGTAACATCAATCTGCCAATATGGAATACATCACGATCGATGGTAATGAATTGAAATTTGCATGTGTCGATTGGAGCCACACGCCTGTAAAGTTGACTTAGTCTCATTCGAAATTTTCGTCTCTAGCTACTACGCACATATGTACGTAGAGCTCCCTGTTTCAAAATGTGATATATTTTGCTACGAATAGTTTATGTAAATAACTTATTATTGCTCCTGTTCAATAGTCTGCTCAGCATCCGCGGCAGTAAAGAAAAACTACGATACCCCTATGTAAATACGGCAATCGAGTAAATGGAGTTTTTGTCTTGGAAGGCCCGGATAACTTTTTCCCAAAATTAAATTGAACAATTTCATCAAGAAAGGGCGGCCATAAAACTAACAGAGCAGGATATATAGGGCGCAGATTAGCTAGTGGGATAGACGCATATAAAACGAACAACGCAGATTTGCGAAAACAACGACCAGAGAAGATTTATACGGTTAAACCCACAATATTACTTTTCAGCTTTCACTGAAAATTCTGGCACAGCACATCACAAACAGGAATATTTTTATTTACTCTACCGACGAACTGATTATATTTGGAAAATAATATTAACGTCACTAAACATGTTTGGAAAATTTTCCAGTGTTGATTCGGGAGTTTTTGGCACAAACGTCGGCTTCAAAACTGGCCAATATTATTGTTTGTGTAATGTAAACTAATTATGGAGAAATCAAAGGCGAAGAACGGATGAGGAAAAAACGCGCATGAAGTTATCAACCATTATTGATCAGTTTTTTTTCGTTTCAGGCTGACTGTTTTCTTTGTACAGTGGAAATCAATGCTTCAAGCTGTTCGGGGACGTGGAACGTGTACTCAAACCCTTCGAGTTGTCAAATAGGTATTGGATTTAATTTGGCTTAAATATTAACAATTTCTTATAAGTAAAACGGATGACATTCTGTATTATTTGCATCTGCAACTGCAAGACTATTAATTATGGACTAAAAATAGGCTGACCAGATTTTTTGGAGAAGAACATACAGTTATATTAATATTTCCACAACATCTGCAAATACGAAATTGGCAGATGTAGTGGTTCAAATGAAGGCAAGCTTAAAAAATCGTAAATATTTTATTTCCTTGTCTATATTCCAACATTTCTCAGGGATAATAAAGATGTCACCATAATACCTTTTGCCAATAAATTGAGGTTTAAAGTTCCTCAGGCGATCACGGCTTATTAACAATTCTAGCACAATTAGGTACTACTCTGGTTGGACTATTGCTCGGCTCACCTTTTCCGCAATAAATCAGATTTACAGATTGGCATCCTCGTGACAGATCCATCCAATTTCCTAATACGGCAAACAGCTAAAACGGAACATGGAAAAAACTTTGCGCCATTTAAAGTTATTTCGTGGAAGATAATCTTTGTTTACGTTGGAGTCGCACGTTTCGGATCAAACTTGAGGCGTGGTTTTATCGTTTGGAAATTACACGCATTTCCTATTGAAACAACAAACCTGTCACGTATGTTTGAAATATTTATGGGATTACATATGGCCCAGGGAATCGAATTTCAATTAGAACTTTGTTAGTGTAATTCAATCTTTCCCTCAGTCACAACATGTAAGTAGAGGCTTTCATGAGCCCAAGCGCTGACTGGGTTGTATAGTCTCAAGCTATAGAAAATCATTTTTGGATTTAGATCTTGGTGATTTTGCGAAATAACGCAACCAGCTGCTTGCGACCAGTATCACTCCCAGGAATGTTCGTTATTTTTAAATGCTATTTTTTTACTTTCTGTGTCGATTTAAGCGGCTAAAAATAAAACCGTTTACAGTTCGTTAAGCCTCAGAGCATATGCAAATAAATACATCATCCGGTGAAGAAGTAATCTCTTTCTGAAAAGATAAGTAAATATTTTATATTTTAATGGCGCCCTGACTTCCTATATGTTTGATTCGCGAAATTTAATTCAATATTCTGGATTTTTCACAATCACATAACAATATGAACACAGACTTTGTACCAATTCAGTAAAAATCTCTTATTCTGCTTACAGTAAGAAAATGTTAATGAGAAGACAATGGGCGTCTGTTCATATTGTTTGCCTTGGTGTTATTGGAATGTTCAGTTGCATAATTGAGATACAGTTTGAAAACTCGGTTAACTCGTCAATTTAATTTCTTATTCAGTAGAAATAGCTATTCAGTTCTTGTTATTTTTTCATGGAAAACGACTGTCATTTCAAAAATGTAGTGACTTTATTTTATTCATTTAACTGGCCGCCAAATATATTGGATATTTAATATCACTAAACTGTTGTTCAATTTTAATTTGTCTTACATCTTGTCTAAAAACAGAATGATATCAGAACTGTTTTTATGAACCAATTTCTGTTTGTTGCCTCTTTCTTTCTTCCTCCCCTCAGTTCTTCGTCCATCTCGCATAACAGAAAATCGAGTTACCTTCTGAAAGTTCATTAGTTAATCATCTTTTCTTATAATATCAGAGTACTTCGATTTGTCTTTCTATCTGTCTATCAATCTTTTCTGAATTTAATTGCTATGCCCCTCGTTGCAATATACTCGTATCTCTTTTAAATAGTAGCAAATTTATATTATTTTAATCTTTCCAAAGCTTTTATCACTGGAGCCTGGTCCACATCAGATTAATACGATTGTACAAAACGTCGCGCTCTACATCTCGGTTCAACATAATCAGTAAACGCTTGTCACCCGGGATCTATAAGAATGTGAAAACTACGGTCTAATTGCACAACTAATGCGAGTTATTGATTAAACTTAATCAATTATTTTGCCATAATCTAATAACTCGACTTACGGAATTGCATTTTAGCCATCACTATACCGAGGTCATTATATACAAGTTAATATTAAAAAAATAGTTTATAAATTTACTGTGCTTTGTGAACTATGGTTAGGGAAGAATGCTAATAATTTGTTACATATCTTTTTACAGACTCTCGCGAGTATTCCCCGGATCGACATTAGCCACCTTCCAAGGTAAAGTATCTTTATTCAATATGTTGTCCAATTTTAACTTGAATCACATTCAATTAATTTACACAAAACTGCACACTTTACCATAAAAAGGAGAATTATAGAAAAAAATGTTGGTACGTTTATGTAATATACCTTTAAAGATCGGAGATCGGTGACTATTAATTTTTCTTGTATAAACAAAAACCTTGCTTTAGCAGATGACGAACCCCAGAAATAAATATACCATTTTGTTTATTAGAGCTGCCCGCCCAAGGTAACAAATAGTCCCAAACAAGCAAGATTTATGATTTTTCTTTGACTATTCTGTAACGTTATGTCGTCGTAACGTAAATCTGAGCATATGGAGCAATTGCCAGAAGCTGTTTGTTTCACAATTGAAACAGCAACCAAAATCACTCGAATTTGACGAAAAAAATCAATGCTTTGCGTAGGTTGGAATAACGCGACATTATGTGCATGTGTAAATGGTCTTCGAAAGTTTCCTCAACACACTCTTAAAATTACATATTACAAAGAAAATAGATACCACATGTAAACATGCTGGCGGTCCGAAAATAAAATGGCTGGCGTATGTTTAAATCTGTTTGAAATTTTCAGTATAAATATTTATCATTAGGTATGCGTCTGTTCTCCAGTACTCCCACTTTAACAAGCGTTTGTAAAACATTTATGGAATATCTGGGTTTTTAAGTACGTTCGACGGATAGGCCTAAATGCTGATCGGCAAAACATTGTTGACTCAGTTAAAAACTGTCTCATATTAATATTTCAAAGCCGACAGTCTAAGCGTTTAAAATTTCGTTCAATTCCCAGCTGTATGAGCTTAAATCTGGCTTAAACTCAACGTCATAAAATCCACCCAACCGGTAAATTGCTCCGGTCCCCAAGAAAGAAAAATTCCATTTACACTTATGTTGTCCCGAGGTCGGATTATAAAAATTACGAAAAAAGGCAAATTACCAAAATGATAGAGCCTCCCAGGGCCCATAAAATGCAAACGACGAGTCTTTCAGAACCCGTTTAAGACAGCCCCACTCTCCTACTCTAATTTATTCTTATCTTATCGTTCTATATAGCCGGCCGGGTTTATTGAACACTCACTTGAAATAACTTTGAATTTCAAACTGGGCCTACTAAATGTCTTTCGTATGTAAATAATCAACAATCCTGAATCGCAAACCCGTCAGTGACGATATCTTCATTTATCGAGTGCTTCACATAGAAATGCTTCATTAAAAATACTCGGAAGCAGAACAGGCGATGTATACATTAGAACAAAACAAGGGTTGAAGGAAAAATAGTGTCCTCCCGTGCAACAGACTAAACCACAACAATTCTTTAACTATTAAATTATTATTTGTATAAATGTCCTATGAGATTAATTATGTTTCCTAGATATTATTTTACGTGATATCCTTTTGGTTTATGGCCTGCATCAAGAAAACCTTTATACAATTGTTAACGCTATAATTTTTATGGCTAGTGTGCTTCAATTTACAATGATTTTTAGACGAATTTACGACTGTATCTATCACACGTTTCGAAACTAGCCATAAATTAGACATGAATATTAATAACATCAAAGAACTTATGTAAGTGGGATCAGATTGGGCACCTGTTCAAAATGTGCTTGAAAATTAGTCGAGGCCTGAATATATCTTTCATCTAAATTTGTCTTTGTTTCGTTGGATCGTGTGCGATTTAAATATTGCTCAGTTGTCATCACATCACTTCCAGTAGATTTGAAATCGCTACATTTAAATTGAACGTGGAATAGGAATAAAATCTTTAGAGAAGCCATAAAAGCTGCTGTTGGTTGAACATCTGCTTACAGTAAAATGGAGCTGTAGTTTGAAAGGTAGAACGAATTGTCTTATGTTACTGCCTGATTAGCTTGTACTACCTATATGTCAAGTCTCACTCAGAAAAATGTACTTATCGTTTCTCCGAAGGTATTCGGAGGTCGCGTGTTGTATTGAGGTTACTTAAAAAATCTAGATTTTGCAGGTTTTCTGATTTCGGGTATTGATAGTGTAATGTATACCTACTTTTTTAAAATGGTTTAAAACAGTAAAGAAGGTTCGATTGATTCTTTATTTCGATAGTTTTCTGTCATGGAATCATCTCAAAGATCTTTTCCAACTGTATATTGAACAGCACCGATGGATTAAGAAATCCTTGACAAACTGAGTTATTAAGGATACCTACCTGGGGATAGGTATCAGTTGAATCTTATATCCACAAGGGATAGTTTTACTTCATGTATAATCCGTCAATAACTATCGCAGAGTACCTATTCTGATAAACTTTGAAGCATACGAAGCAATTGATCTAAAAAACTTTAATTAGAAAATTGATTCTTCAAACATGCATGAAGTAGGTAGGTACTGTGAATAATTAATTTGAAATTTGTATATAACTTTCTCAATTAACTTTAAAGCGGATCATTTGTCTGTCCAATATTTCGTGAATAATATTATTTGTGATTGTGAATACCAAATTGCTACAATGGTGCGGAAATTCAACCAATTATTTAAATTCATTGAGTATTTAAATAACTAACGTCGGTACTCCTTCCTATCAGCTAACATTCATTCCATTTTTAAGCCAGTCTAAGTATAATCTTCAAATTCCATAATGTTAAGCTCATCATTAAGAACAGTTCTTATTGGCAAGAAAGTTTTCATTAAATCTAATTTAAATCATCACCCAACGTGAAAATTGATGTTGACAATGAAATTTTGGAAAAATGTTTCATCTTATAAATCTATTTTCAGCACTGAGAGCGCAAACATTAATTTTTCCAGGTTAAACATGTCAACGACGTCGCTTAAATATTGCATTTCATTTGCAATGTTTATATTTGCAAGTTAAATAAATGTAGCTTAATCCATGCATCCAAAGTGAATAAGGCATATTTAAATGAGTTTTTATTAACCCGAGATCACAAAAAACATATCTATCATTCCTAGGCGAAGGATAGTTAAGTTTTCCCAGAATTGTTTGTATTTTTTAGAGCAGATAATTCCGGTTTCTAGTTGAAGTAAAGAAGTGACTAATTTACTGGTGGATTGCTTTGGACAATATTTTTTCTCTATAAAGAATTTTTCAAGTAGGTATGAAAATTGATGATGAAATTCTAAATTGCACGCATGTTACTTCGGTCTACTTCAGATTTTAGCATAATGGGTACGAGCCTTAGTTTAAATCAGCCTTACGTCACACATAATCATATCCATGCGTTAATCAAACGAAAGCATTTTCTTCAATTTAAGGTTGTTTTGTTAATGATGCTCTTGCTAAATTTGGTAAACCAGCTTAAGAATGCTATGATGCCAAACAATGGATTTCATAAATTTGACTTATAATTTAAAACACTGCGACTATCTAGACCTTGCATATTCTTGATCATATTATTAAAATGACTTACTGTTCAACATGCATTCTACATAATTATTACGCTCTTTCGCACATCACCCACCATATTTTCATGCATTCATTGAGCATCAGAGTTGGTTATGTGTTTATCTTCAGTTCAGTGATACCTTCACTTATTGCTATAGATAAATGAAAAACTGTTAGCCGCTTAATTTGCCAGCGTGGGAACTTATTTCCAATCGCCAAAAATTGTGATTAATTACTTGGAGTACGCTAAAAACAAACCACAGGTCAAAATAACCAGAAACAAAGCATAACGCTTCGTTTTTCCTCTTCGCGCCACCCATGCTTTTATTTAGAAACACCAAAATTTGGCATCACCTATTCTAGTACCTATGTGAAACCCAAATTGAAGAAATAGTCACGGAAATAATTATTAATTAAGTTGTGTTGTGACAATTTTGACTGAGAGCATGATCTCAAAATATTCATGGTGACCTGATCCTACATGCTTCTCAACATTTTCGTTCTCGAATTGCACTCGTCTTTTGCAACATTTTGAAATATTACCACAATTAAGTATGGCAAGAATTGAGGATTGATTGTCTTCAGCAACTAAAGATCTTTTGTTCTTCACTTGTTAAATTAATGCAACCAGTGCCCTGGGCAGACGTGCAATCGAAGCAGTGTTTTTGTACCTGTTCTATTTCGGTGAAGTCGATGGCCGCCAAGAAGTCACCATGGCAAATGCGGCCCCATCCAATATGCAGTTAGTTCTGCTCGGCGCAGATCGTCTTCGATATCGGGGCGGAGAAAGTACGCCATATTCGTTCGTTCTCAGTCTTGCTCGCCATTAACTTCTGTGGAAAATACAGAAATAAGTATTTAAAAAGTTTTTCGGAGAATTTTAGAACGAAATATGTATTAATTTGGTATTTTGTCGCAAAGGTAGAATACTTTACTGCACAGTAGAGCATATGAAACTAACCTATCTTAACATGGTCGTAGCGTCGCATACCTACTCAGGCATGCGACTTCAATGCAAGGCAACTTCCAACAAAGTCATTTGAAATTCTACTTTTGACAATTTAAACTGGCTGGTTTTATGGTTCGTGTATTGGCTATTGTTGAGGCATTAATTTAACCCAGATTACATCCGTATTTTTTAATAACTGCTGCTCTACTGGCGTTCAATTGTAGTTAAAAGGTTATGCAACCTGCACCTTGCTAATTTAGATATCAATTAGGTACATAGTAGATCCAAAATGCAGATCTGTTTCAAATGGGTTATAAATTTGAACGTTCTTTCCAATTGTTTTACATTTGTAGGCCAGAAAATATGTGGTTGGGTACACTTCTGATATGAATAGGAGCCTTTACTGTCAAATTTTGCCGAGATTTTATAAAATTTCCGGTTATTTCATTTTGATTAGAGTCTAAATTATATGGTGACATTTAGTAAGATAACGATCTGCAATTTATATCATTATATACTGCATTTCATAATTTTATTCTGTCACCATTTAGTAGGACTATGTTACCGTCATAAATCCTCAGTGTATCACTTTTTTATACCTATGAAAGTGTGTCTGCTTTCGTGTCAACTCACAATTCAATTCGGTCAGTTGCTCAAAATCATTCCCATCACACGTGTTGGCGATCGATTGGAAACTACTTGTAAGATCAAACCCGGAAAGATCAACGAACTGAATCCGTTTTGCCATTGAGGTACCTGCCTCAAACATGTTGAAAGAATTGAGGATCAGATCCCCTAGTATTTTGTTTCTAAGAAAGGGGTCTGCTCTACACTCCGAAAACACAGGTAACAGAAATTATTCAAGCCCATGTTACTACCTTGTCTGACCGCATTGATAGTATGCAGTTCTAAAGAGAGAACATGCAAATGAGAATTTCTTAATCAGTTTATCTGCATATAATATTTGAAAAGTAATTAGGATGATTACTAATTTACGTATTGGTACTTTGCTGAGGTTTAATGAGTAAAGTATCATTTGAAATTGTAGAGCTCTCTTTAATATTTCAAACAAATTATTGCCTAATGATCTAGTTTGAATTCTTCTTGAGTAATGGAAATATTGTCAATGCACTTTGAGACTAGTTTTGAACTACTCATAATCGTAGGATTCTCTGCAGTCACAACTGGAAAGATAGATCATTTATAAGACGATTCTTTCTTACTGCTTTTACCAATGGGAATTTTGTCAATAGAAAAGTTTCCGAAATAAGTCAAAATATTCCGATTTGCGTTAAATCTTCCACAAATTTCTTTTCATGTTTTGGTTCCAGTTGTAGCAATATGCGATGTTTGGAGAATTGAAAAATATTAATAACAATGTCTATGTACTGGTTTCTGCTAGATAACATTTTATGAAAATCTTTAAATATTGTTTTCCAACCAAATTGTTACTGTTGACTAGAAAAAATGTCATCCCATGAGCTGAGGAACAATAAGCAAAGCTCTATCAGGTAAACTCAAGGTCAAGTTGTTTCTTTAAATAATTGAAACAAAAATTGGGTTATAATATAATGGGGAAATACACGATTTCAATAGCATGTGGGTGGAAAGCTTCTATTGTAATTGCTGATTTATAACAAAATTATATTGAAAAAGTGGGCGTTGAGGTAATTTAAACTGATCCCAAACTTTCCAAGGTTTGCTGTCGCTCTTTTATGAGTTTACATACCTACTTACTGTAATATGCTTTTGTGATTATAAATTAAAATATGAGGGAACAGTTAGTGATTGAATCATTTAATTTTATAATATCTAAGGGATCTTAAATTAAAGTTGTTCACATCTGGTCTGAAATTTAATTAGAAAATGTATATCGAACTTATCGAAATAGGAGTTCCTTGAAAAAATAACGTTATGTTTTTGTCTCACAAAATTATATGCAGAATAACTTCTGAAAAACTCAGTATCTCATATCTATCCGACTCTTTCTATTGGGGCTTCTGCTAGCTATTGGTAGAAAAAACACCGATACAATTTGGCAGTTAAGGCAGGCTATTTCACTTTTCGGTGCAAACATGTTACAGTTTTCTTTACATACAAGGTGTTTCAAAATTTGCTTCATTCCCCTGTAGTTGATATTTAGAAAGGTTCAGGAAGTATAGAAAAAATATATGTTTCTAATTTTCTCTTATAAATTGAGGTTTTCTCATTAACAATACGTAGGTACTCATATATCAGCGGATTTATTAATAAGTTTGCTATTATTATATGGCACATAATTTTTGCAATGCGGCTTCAAACTTCAGGCTCCTGCCTTCATTAAACAGCACTTTCTGAACGAATAGCTGAAATTGCAGACTGCTATTGTGGATTGACAATAGCTGATATCCGAAAATCTGTCTTTGATTTGGATGACAAAAAATTGATTCTTTATCAACTTAAAATAATGACTAGCAAGAAATGGTATTACTGTTTCATAAAGAATGGCCCACGTTTAGGTATGCCTGCGTCAACCATTGCATACCAACATGCATTAACAAACAGAATGTTCTGCAATTCTTTGATTGTAGTATTGGACCAGAACTTATTCAGACCAATAAACCCTCCGGATTTGGTAATGTTGGCAGTAGAGATGATGACGATATTTCTTTGTCCGGATTGAAAAATTAGTACCTACCACGAAATTTAAAGTGTCGAAGCCATTGAAAATTGTTCGCAGTAAAAAAGCAGAGCTATTCGAAAGTGGGATTAAAAAGGTTTTGGAGAATTGGTTTTGAACAGAATGTGGATCAGAGGAATACAGTAACATGATGCACTGCATAGGTACTTACGTGTTTTAAAGCATGGTTTCAATGTAATAGTGTAGGGTTAAGCACAAGAAATAAGCTATTTTGCCGTAGTTTATGCAATTTAATGTACAATGTTTTTCCTACTAGAATAACGGTTTTGTTTAAATAGGCAGAACTTTTTTATTTTTTAACTTACAAACGGAAGCGCCATAAGTCAAAGCCAGCGCAAAATAAATTTCGTGCATCTACGCGTTATTTTAGGCTTTTCTCTATAGGTACCTACGTCTTAGTCTATTTAGTATATTCACATAGCTGAATCAGCTTTCATTTAACTGAGATGTACGTTTCTAACATGAACTTACGAGCAAACCACGACAATTCTAAATAAAATGCGAGTATTTTCTTAATAAAGCAGGGAAGAGAAATTAACTTAGAATCGTATATTTTCGATGTTCTGATGACTTAGTACCTAGTTTTACCTGAAATTCTCAAACTCAAAGGGCAGCAACAAGGGATTCGAATTTATTTCAAATTTGTGAAATGAATAAATTAAAGGCTAAACTCGACATTGATTGCCGTTACCATTACGCTTGGGTGAGCATAATTAAGAAAACACTTTCCACCTGTTGTGGTTGGTTTACAACTTTTCATTTCAACGCCGCCGTAAAATTTTATGATTCCGATTTATTTCCCCAATAACAGCACATTCAGAGTTCTGGCTTCCGAAAATTTTCGTCCTAGGTCTAGGAGAAATTTATGATGGCCCTTCGGGTTTATGAGTCCTTTCTACCTGGGCTTTTTCTTCATGGGCCGTTAACGAAGTCAATTGAGGCCTGACCAAACAATTGGAAAGCGGTTCTAAAGGTGTTGAGGGATAAAGTGTGCTGCCTAATTTGTAGTGTTTTTTATAGGATTTTGTTTGTTCGTTGAAAGCCCGGCTATTTCAGCTCGTTTTCGAATATCTTCAATTTTAATTGAATATTACTCTAGATATCTGAGCGTAATTCCGTTCGAAGGACTCTGCTGAGTGATGCGACATACGTTAATTTAATGCAGCGATGTTTCAGATAGCGCTCGCTAGATCGCACGCGCGTCGCCAATCGCTGTCGACTTTTTGGTCTGCGGCCTGCTCACAGGAATTCAGTGTGTTCGCAAGTTGCGGCTCGTGATACTCGATACACGTCCAAGAGATCATGTCATTGCGCGATCTGCTCCTCTCGATACGTGGTCTTTCGAGCGCGCTCGCAAACATTCTTTAGACGAATATTTCTAAAAGAATTAATTTTTTTGGGACAAATTCTGTGCTTGTTTGGGAACGGTTTGTTACTAGTTCGGGGTACCACCAACGAAAACAGAAAACAACATAAATTGTTACTTCTGCCAATAAAATATTTTACGGCTCATAAACTTTTGTATACAAGGTGCCGCATCATCTGGTGATTTATGTGCACTTTGAGCGAAGTGTTTAAAATCAGCTGAATTGTGACATTATCTATTAAATCGCCTCGTTTTCTGGGTGTCGTCGTTTGCCATTGATGACTGTTAGTAGATTGTTTCTTATCTGTGTTTCTTCTGTTTCTTTTACATAATTCTTCTGACTGTCGCTTCGAAATCTGCGTGCACTTGTTACTTGTGCCGACTGGACTTTGAACGCTGTGACTCTCCCTCAACACCATCGTTGCCACCATCGCGGACCCCGTGGCGTGCGCCGCGCCGACCCTGTACGACCATGTGGTACATCCTCCTGGGCCTTCACCAGCCTCCGCCGCGGGCTCCACCACCGGGGTGGCCTGGTGGTCCATGATGAACGGAGGCTTGTATGAAGAAAGTCCCCCGCCGGTTCCTCAGAGTGCCGCTACTCCGAGTGGTACCAGCGGGATGACCAGCCCTCCGGCTGTTGCACCTCCTGCGGCCACAACCTCGGCCACATCTAGCTCTTCTCCAGCCAGCGTTACCAGCAACAGCGGATCGGTCGGTCCGCTGCACATTCCCGCCAAAAGACTGACCTCAGGTGGTTATGGAGATTGTACGGACGGCAGCGTGATCAGACATGGTCAGAACCATTGGTCGTCATATTCTCCATCCGAAAACCATACGGCTTTCGAGTCCACGTTGAATCACCAGTACAGCAATCCAACCTACTACAATTTACCTGCCGACCCTAATGGGAGTCGAGATCATAAACCGCCCCTTCCGTTTTGGTCTCCTGCAGCAACTGCATCTTCAACGCCGCCTGATTATAAGTACAGGGGAGGTGTAGGTGCAGATCCTTCCGTATCATCTTCTTGTCATCAGTCTTTTGGAAGCAATTCTTGGTGCAATGTATACAATTCTCCGTACCCTGCAGCCAGTCGTCACCATGTGGATGGGCCCTATCTGACACCGGCTGATGACCGGGGAAGGGTTCCTACCCTCGACACCGGCTTTTCACATCACGACAGGGGGTACGGTCTCGGAAACTACGGTGCTCCTGAGTCAATGCCATCCACTCCCTACCCACCACCTGGTAAGTTGACTGAACTTTGCAATTGTGATTTTTGCTATTTTATTCTTTATTCCAATGGAAGCATGTTTTCTTTGACTTGCCAACCAATTTCTTCTCTGTGTGCTGGGTGTTCAGTTAATTCACTACTGTTTCTTCGTTCTGGTTACCAAAATTATTTTAATCTATGGCCTCTTTAAATTCCGAGTTTTTCTGTTTGTTTTGTCCTGGATTTGGCAGACATTTCCATATTAATTTTCTGGGTTTGAAATCCGCACGAAAAATTTGCTCATTTTTGGCCTAGATTATATCTACGAATGCAGAAACAATGTTGAGACTGATCAGCTTATAACCTAATCCCTGTTCAATTTGTAATTTTTGGAAACATACGTTGCATAATTTTTATATCAATTGTCTTAAATTATAATATGTTATTATTTATTAAAGTGCAATAAATTAGCGCCTTGCCAGTCTAAATAGCATGAGTATCTTCCGTGCCTTTACCTTCGTTAATGAAGATAGCAGACCACTGTTGCCAAGTCGCATCCGAATTTCTGAGTTTTAGGATATTTAACACAGAAAATACATTAAAGTAAAGTGAATGCCGAACTAAAAAATACGAATTAATTTAGAAAATATGTTTTGCTTTTACCAAAAGATTATGTAAAATGAAATTCTATTCGACAATAATTCATAAAGAAAAGTTGCTAGGCATCCTGGGTTGGATAATCTAAATTACTTCATAGCTCAACTTGAGCAATTTTTATTAGTTTGCTATGGGACCAATAAAAAAATCTTTTTAGACAAGTGACTAATTTTCAAAACTCTTGCCCTTTTAAATCGCAATATTTCTAAGAAATTTTGAGCTCAAAATATTGAAAAATCAAATAGGTAGGTACATACAAATACAACAAAAAGTTTAATTTGCAACATTTGTTCACCCAAATTCATTTAGATTCACTGTCACTCCACACCATTATCAGTAGAGATACAGTTTACCTCTGATTATTTCTTCTCATTTCCTGCTGCAAATTACTACTCAATACGCTCCGTGAATCATTTGCCAACCACTTCCTTGTTGAGGTCTTTCAATATTCAAATAACATCAATTCAATTACATAAATCAGGCAGTTTCGTCACTGCGAACCGAACAATAACACGAAAGCAAATTGTCAATTAGGTTCAATGTCATTTGGTTAATGTTGTTGATTGGCTGGAAATTTTCAAAGGCATGTAAAGAGAATGTATTCGAGTTTTGCGCTAGATGGCGACACCCTTACAAGTTTCAGAAATGCTTTCTGGAGACACAATGTGTTGTTTGTTTGTTTTCTGTCTGTTCGAGGTGATTATTTAACAGATATCGTTTTTTGCTTAACGCATAGCGCGGTTCAACTACATTAGATTATTTTTTTAAGTTGAGCTCAATCAAAATTAACAAATCATCACGTTTTTACACTCATTTTTCTAGAAAATACCAGTTCGATATGATTTTTATTGAAAATCCTTAATCTGATCATATTGATTTGTTCATTTCCTTCTGGTATTTGCCGATATCTATTCAATACAACAAATAATCTATTTCTATGGCACATAAAATGCAAATAGCCACAATTAAACAGATAAGACGTTTTGCCTTCAAATCGATAGTGCGCTGATATTTATTAGTGTGTGAATTTTAACGGCATGCAATAAAAAGAACCTATAAAAATGTTTGACAATAAATCACTAAGAAATGTTTTTAAATAAGTAAACAAAAATAATGATTCGATAAACTGTCATAATTGGGTTCAGTCAGCTGACGATTTTTAACACATTTTATGGCTTAGGTCAGTTTTATGACATAGTAAAAGTGCTTTATAACACTCTAACGTACTACTACAACTCCAGTACGTCATATGAAGGCAATGACTCTCTTTAAGAATGACATAAAAATGTACGTATTTGTTTCGTCATTCATATCATCAGTTTTATGGGTCTCCGTTGAATTTGATTAATTTGCTTTTTAATGCGAAGGTAGCCTCATTAGCCAAACGCTTTTCCTATTGCAATAACATTTAATGTTTGGTTTGTATTTGTTGTTTTCGCTCATGGTAATCCTATCTATGTATTTGATACTGAAAATGTGATGGATTCTGAACGTTTAGCATTTAATTTCACACTATTGTAATTGAGATTTTTCGTAAGAATATCCACTACATAATTTTTTTATTTAGCTAAAACCGCTTTCTTGCCAAGAGGAAACTCGTTACCGTTTAAGCAAAAGTAGTAATTTCGGCTACCGTTAAGAGTTAAACTCACAAAACTCGTCTGGGCCTATTTTCTTTTAGTTATTATACTACTTATCTCACTTGCCTACGGCTCCCCGACTTGATCTTAGGGACTTGTGCGTTCAATGTTGCCGTCTAGAAGCAGTTATCTCAAATATTTCCTGGACTTCTGTACTATCGACTAAGCCGAATTATTCACGGTATTCGACGGTAACGACTTTAAAATACTCGATTCACTGCCGTTATAATTCAATGAAGGTCTTTAACATACTAACATTCTTAACGCAGACACTGTTGTCCCCTCAAAAACAGACTTATTTAAATCTGCAATTTATACTTTCACAAGTATTATATTAATTTATGCCAGAATGTTTCTTGCGTTTCTTCATTGAATTGGACAGTGGGACTTAATAGATCAGAAATTGTTGGCAACATCGCTATAAGCAGTTGAGATTTTGAGAGACAAAACAGCGAACGTCCGTTTAACGATCGCATATCCGAATATCTCCATTCTGCGTGACGTCAGAAATCAAGATCATATGACCTGGCTACAGCTGATCATCCCTTGTCACGCATTTTAGGGTCGCTTCGGCATTTAGATAACGCCATAAAAAAACTGAAATTAACACGTGATGAAATGCTCCGTAAAAGATCGGTGTCGTTGAACTGGAATAAATACATATACATTTTGAAGTGTTCCGATGGTTTATTCAAAAATCTTAAGCCGCTAATTTCAGCTACCTGTGAAAAAATAAATTAAATTTAATGTTCAACAACACGGCTTTTCTGCGTAAATTCTATATTAAAACGTTTTTTGTCAGATTTGACTAAGGCTAGTGGTTTTGACCAAACCTTTTAATTGCGTTTTTCAATTTTTTCAAATTCTTTACGACATGACAAGCTATAGTTTTCTTCGTTATTCGTTTTGATTATTATGTCCTTACATTTTATATTGCATTTTCTGACTGCACGATTTTTTCATTTCTTATTTTTTTGCAAATGTAGGGTATTTTTCCTTTGAATTATATATTCAGTTGTTGATTGGATCGATTGTATAGTTTTCTTTTCATGGCTCTTTTTCAGCCGAAATAGATCCGCAACCTGGCACATCTTGACCATCTTCCATCATATCAAAATCAATATTTGGGTTTCAATTCTGCAAGGTAGAAGTGATGTTGTTTCAATGCAATAAAAATAATTGAATTTAATGTTTGTCTGATTTAAATTGAAATTTTGATATAATTTGTAGTAGGTATAAATGTTTCAATACATTTTGAATTGAAATTGTTTCGGCATTCCTGGTTACTAATGGCCTATTAATTTTACGTTAAATATGTGCTAACTTGTGCAGTTTGCTCTAAAATAATAGATATTGCAAACTAAACTTTTCTTTACTACGCTTCTGCGGGCTACCAAAAAACATTTTCTATATGTCTATTCATTCTCTCTTTGCATCTGGCATAACATTTGCATGTGGTTAACCTGACAATTTTATAATGCAAATTACCTAATATATTGCGAATGAAACTAATATTCTTTCTCCATACTTAACCACTATTCAGTAGGTTAATTTGCGCTCAGCACACTCCGAGAAATGCACTAGTCAACGTATGCATTTTGCGAAAGTTATCTCGAATCCAACTGAGTTGAGAAACGATTATTTAATATACAAGCCCTCAGATCTTCAAGATTTTATCCCAGCAGGATATTTGATTCAGAGTAGCTTCCGAACAAGTGAATAAGAAAATTTAATTAATTGGCAGATTTTGTTGGATTCTCAGGGTTGCCTTCATATAAGAGGCAAGTTTCCTGTAAGCATTTAAGTGAACAAGGGAAGTATTTTCCTAGACATGCATTCCAGTATAAATGCTTTGCACTTGAATAGTACAAATTTGTTTTTCTTTATTTCTAGGTTCCTTGGGTACAATGGGAGTGAGCGTTGCTTGTGGAGGTGGCGGCAACTCTCTAGAATGGACGGGACAAGTCACTGCTCGGAAAAAGCGTAAGCCATATTCAAAGTACCAAACCTTGGAGCTGGAAAAAGAGTTTCTTTTCAATGCCTACGTTTCGAAACAAAAAAGGTGGGAATTGGCACGAAATTTAAATCTCACAGAAAGACAAGTTAAAATTTGGTTTCAAAACCGACGAATGAAGAACAAGAAAAACACCCAACGTCAGGCGTCCCAACAACAAAATAATAATAATACGGCAACGAATAACCAAAACCATCATCACCATCCAGCCCATTTGCCGCACCACGTGGTTAATCACCACGTTTCGGCCAACGGCGCTTTAAAACATCATCAGTGACCTATGGGGTTTTCGGGGGTTGTGTTGGGCAATTCACATGGATTGACTAGTTAAACACCCTTTATTGTCATCGTGTGAGTTGGAATAGACTAGGAGGGTGTTTCATTGCAAATGCTTACAATCCTCGAAACTTTGAAAATAATTTTAAGTTCTTTGCAGTGCCAAAGAATACTTACATTCTCCGCTGTTATTAGGATTTTCGTTCAGTATATGTTCTGTCTGTTCGTACTTTTTTGGAAATTATTTATTTGCTGTTTCACATGGTTTCTCTGCTGAACGGTGACGTAAGTTTTACCGTCCAATATAAAATATTTAGGTACTTTCTTCTAGGTAAGCTATTTGATAACAATGTTAAACACATTTCTCTATTTGTTTGTTTTTTCTATTACCACTTTCAAAGGCTTAAATTTTTTGTGAATTATTCCTTTTCTCGAGCAGGATTGAAATATTAATTATTCAATCTTGGTATAGCGAAACCACATTACCTTCAGTTGTTTTACATAAATGGGTGTTTAATGGCTGTTAAATTGATAATGTCTACCGTTTATAATTACAGGTAAATAAATCAAATAAGTGGACATTTACACCCAACAAACATTTATATTTTCCAATTACCGATAGTTATGCAGAGCTGAATATCCTTGTCTAACTTGACTAATTATGAATGTAATTTTTTATGGGTTTCTCATTTGCTGGTCTATACATTTTTTGCATTTTAACCTATTTGCCAGTTTATCTATTGCCAACTAAGTTGCTTTCTCAATGTTCAGTTCCGTATGTGCAATAAAAAGGTGTGTGAAACCACACCAAATTCAAAGGACCAATAAAATCAGAAAAAAATCGTCTAATTCAAGTAAGCTTTCCAAAAAAGTATGAGGGCAGAGAAACATTTTGGCAGGGCTTGTGCAAATAGTATAGTTGGTGCAGAGCACAAAATTTTCCAGTTTACATTAACGTATTTTCATAGGCTTTAGATAGTTTATTCATTATGAATGAATGCGAATTTCAAAACAAACTTATATTAAGTTTTATGATATTCTTTACTTATTATTTAACTGTTGATTTTAAGGCGCGTTGGTAGTATTTTGATTGGATTTTGATAAATATCATAATAAAACAATCTAAGCAAACAATTAAGGTGCTTCATAGTGATTCCCCTGAAAACAACGACAATACTGTTAAATTGTTTTAAATTCTCGTGCAATTTTTTTGTACTTACTTTTTTCTATCGTGCTCTCTGATTTTATTATCTTATGGTGATTATTTAATTGGGTTTTCATGGATCTGGGGAAAAAGTGAAATTGGAACTTATCGCTTTCACCACCCATACAATTCAGTAGTTAAACGGGAAACTACTCAACTTAAATTAAATCGAGAATCAGCTCTGAGCTTCAGTACTTGCAGTTAAAAAAATTAAAGCTTGATCGAATTATTAAATAGATTATTTCCCCTTATCAAATCGAATTCAAATCTAGGAAGGAAGTGTTGATGAAAATGTATAGCTAAAATGTATTCAGATTCTAATCTTTTGGTTTCAATCTATATTGTCTGACGTGGGGTTATGAAATTGTTCCACGAAATACTGAGAAAAATATCTTAAATATTGGGTTCTATGACACAAACGCAAGTGTGAAATGTTACTTAGCATTCAACAAAGCGCAGCTTTAGCATTTTGTTAGTGTTAATAAAATGTCACTAATTTGGCGCCTGCCTAAAAAGGGTTTACATCATACGAAGAAGTTGCATCTTATTTGGAATTTTTTTATCTGCAGTATTTGTTGGTTAGATTAAATCAGATGTGAAAAGTTCTTACCAATTGATGCTTTCAGTTTTTCCACTTGATTCTCTGTAGATTATCTAATTAGGTTTTTCAAAAATTTTTGTTTAATGATTTATGTCTGTTATTTTTCTTAATCAGTACTGTGCTGACTTAGTTTAGGGAACATAAAGAGGAAATCATATTTAAATAGTTTTCTCCTGAAACAACACTTAGCTTTAGGAATTTGTATATACGACTGTCTTTTTGTCTTTAGATGTTAACTGGTATGTTGAGATGTAATCAGTGTTGCCTATTTAGCCTAAATGTATAGTAAATTATTAAAGGTATAGAGCGCTAAAATAATATTCGCCATATTTTCTGTGTTACTTAAGTTGTTTCTGCCCTTTTGTCAAAATATTTGTACATACGACTTATTAGGTACCTACCTGTATATCTGTAGCTTTTCGTATACGATTTCAGCAAAAAATTATGGGAAACCAGAGACATAAAGTTGCAATATGTAGCATAGTTGCTCTATTATAATTTCTTCGATTTTTCTCCGAAATACAGATTGGCTGAATTTGGATTTTTATATATCGTTTACACGTAATGTCTATGCAAAATCAATTGAGCCTAAATCAATGCAGGCAGTCGGCCCAGTGCAAAGACGTGGTCAAATTAATTGGCTTATGGCATATACCTACTCGATCATTTTTGTTATTAGCTTGTTATTGTTTCCTAATATGGTGACCCATAATATTTTCATATCGTTCGATAATTGGTATAGTTATTGTACCGCTTGGTGTTTTGCCAATAAAATTGCTGTAATATATCTGAGAAAACTTCTCTAGAAACCCGAATTTTATTGTAACTATAAACTTACTAACCTATCCATATTATAAGAATTCTTCGGCGAAGAAATTTTTGGGAAAGTTGGCAACGTTTTCTGAGAAGCAACGTAAAAAATAACATATTTTTATACCAATACGCTGTTATGGCATTGGTCTAGACCTATGTTGTCACATATTTCGTAATTTTAAGATGCTCACTTCCCCAATTTCAAATTAGATAAACCAAAATGTAAATATTTATATTAAGCATTTTAAACAGTGACGTGTATGAAAATTTTTAAACTATGTTTATTATTGTTTTAAAATTACAATTGAGTACTATGAAGTGGCAATGATCTCTTTTGGTTGATATGAGTCTTTATGAGTAGTTATGTTTAGATATATAATAGATAATTTTTATGTTGCTATAGGTTATATAAGTTCCATTAGGCGGAATCGGCTGTTTAAAAAAATGAATTAAAAACTATAGCTGAGTTAAGCCTTTAATTCACTCATGTGTATTAGTAGATATTTTGGAGAAGTTTCAACAAAAATCATTTAAGAATTGTCATACTTGGAGTTCAATCGACATTATGAAATAATTAACAACAAATAAAAATATTTTTACATCTGCTTCTTTCTATGTTAATTTGGGTCACCAAAAAAATTCTCAAGTCAATATTTGTTTTTGTAATAGCTGTTTGATTGTGCAAAATATCCCTTCACGCATTTACTAAGTAACCTATAGCATCATAGTATACGCTGTTGCAAACATCCCACTTTTTTGTTGGTACCAAAATTTACCTAACAAATTATTCCCATGTGTTTTCAACATTCAGTTGTGTTCATAAAGCAAATTGTTGTGTTTATGTATGTATCGTATACACGAAATTGATGATACATCTCTGTATTTTATTTCCCAACTAATTGATTTCTTTGGATGATCGGCTATTGGTTTTTGACTTTTGTTATACTTGCAATACCAAACTAAAGTGAACGTCGTTTTATTCAACATTTGCCTTGGTGTATTTATAAGGTTTTTTCCTGAGACAGATCGGTTTCAAATATTTTCGACTTCAACCAATTCGATCAGTCAGCATAAAGTTCCAAAGTTCATCAAAGAAGTTCCGATGGTAAAGGCGATTTCAACATAATGACGAAAACGGCCTTAACATTGCTCACCGTTCTTGTGCTCCTGATATCTCGGGGTCGTTCGCATGCGTTTCGTTTCATTCCGACCGATAACACTGAAGTTATCGTTTCCTTCTTTCTGCCTCTCGAGTTTGCGTTCCTGGTAGAAAAAATGTTATTTGTTTTGAAGAAAAGGGTGGAGAATAATGAATATCATATCAGAAAAGAGCGAATCGAATGATATTCTTATCCTATCTACATTAATTAATCCACACCCAGCAGGTATTATTTTGGAAAAACCTCTCAGTTTCTAGCAGTTGTTATTAATCACATAAATGAATGAATCAGAACGTAGGCAGCCAAGGAAAGTAGTGTTGACTTGAGTTGTGAGAGGAATTCTATAGCTATTGCAGTTAAAACAGATAAAAAATATGTTCTTTCTGATTGATTAGTGCTGCTTACTCTGATATGTATTTTATTTAATTTATAAACACATATAAACTTGTGTGTTTACTATTCTGATTATCAAAAATTAAAACTTATTAATAGTTAAATGCAATCCTCAACCAATTCTAGAACAAGTAGGCTTGACAGAAGAACTGAAAAAATCAAGAAAGTACTTCTCGTATACCTACATTAGTTTTGGTTTCATGCATATACAATGCGAAGTTCATTTCTTGTCGATTTCTCAGATTCAGTTTTTACTGTCGTCTTTTCTTATTTGTTTCGTCTTACGTCTATAGGTATAATAGATACAGGTAAGGAAATAACTTATTATTATTATAATTATTATTGCGGAAATAAGGCTTTTAGTCAGAATTCGTTTTTTATTTGCAGAGTTTCTATAATATGAAAAAATTCACATTCAGAGTAATCAGATAAGTTCTTTAGTGTTGCGGCGGATTCATTTTTTTACATAGAATTTGGAATAAGAATGTGAGGAAATTATGTCTTTTTAAAAGACAAAAATTTTTGAAGCCAAATACCCAAGAAACCCAGTTTGTGAAAAAATAATAGTAATCAACATAAATTCACATCACAAAAATTTTTTTGTCATCACATTTTAGGCATTTTCGAGAAAAACTGTCCGGTATACAATGATGAACTTGAATAGGTAGATCTTTTCACTGTTAAAGTAATGTTTAAAACACAATAACTAACTACAATGATAGGCAGGGGCGGATCCAGCTTTCGAGTTCACCTAATGATGAACTGAAAGAACTAATCGGTATGCGATTTAGAAAACAACAGCGAGCAGCAATGATTTATTTAAAATAAAGAACGTGATGAAGTATTCTTCGTCCAGCAACCCGAAATGTTTAAATAGAAAAAAAATGTAAGAATTTATACGCAAAAGCAACGGACTTTACGGTATTTTCTATTTATAGATATGCCCTCCTTCGGGATTTAATTTTTTCAATAGGAAGACACTCTTAGGAGAAAGTTATTGTTCAAGATTTTTCAATACTTTTTCTACCAAACCACTGTTCCATATTCATCGGATGATTCATTCATAGGAAACTTTTCGTTTGAGACGTACGAATTCTAATTTTTTGGTGATTTTAATTTAAATTACACTTGCCATCCAATATATTGGTGCAGATGGTTTATGTTATTAGCTGTTCAAACAAAGATTACTACATAACGATTTTTGCATATGATTCAGTAGTAACTTCTGATCATAAAGTTCTGGCACGTCGTAATCGCTGTGATTCAAAATATACCAATATTAAAATATTGCTTACTAAATCTGAGTAAATACTGGCAAGTATTCAAGCGTGTACATCGGCCCATTAGCTCAGTTGGTTAGAGCGTCGTGCTAATAACGCGAAGGTCGCGGGTTCGATCCCCTCATGGGCCAGAACTTTTTCCTCTTTTGCAAATTACGTTTTTTTCATTTTTTTGTTTGTTGAGTCAGTTAGGAGATAAAGCTAGCATTGGAAATTTTCAAACAAAACTCTAGGTATTCGACGGTTGTTCCTATTTATACCGCTATTAACTAAGGTATTGAGCTCGAATATTTTTGCGGTTACACTAGAAATAATTTTTTCACATTTTTTGTTATTTGTGTGTAGTCGTTTAATGGGGCTTTGGTCTGTTTTTTGGCATCTTACTTATTCGGGTCACCACAGGTTGCTCCACACGCACATCTTTATTAGTGGTTGGGGAGAAGAAAGTGTTAAGAGTGTAGACGAGTAGGTATATTTGATTCCAAAATTTGGTAATTTGACAGAAAAATATCTAAGGTAGTCCTAATCGATCAAGTACAAACGAAAATACGCAAATTAAAAGTTGAAAAAATACAGGGTGATTCAAAATTGGCATAATTACTTTTAAGAGGTTATAGGGGCTGACTTACAGAGCACGAGAAAAATATTTAAAAATATTTGATAGAAAAAAAGATATCAGCTATTGAAAATCGAATTACTAGTTACGAATGTTTAATTACGAAAACTTTCTTAAGAAGTATTATTTTGAAATGGTCCCATGTTTGATTGGTATTGATAATTAGAAACAGTGAATACCTACATTTGGCGAATTAAGTTGAATTTACCTTTTACCCCAACCGATTTAATGGTCTCTTTCTGTGTTTTTCTGTGATTACTTGAGCTTTTGATTGCGAAATTGCGAAAAGTGCAAACGACCACTGGCGGCTAAATTATAAACTATACTCAATGAGTAACAGTTGACATTTATTTTGTATATGTTAGGCCATGGACATCGTTTACATGTCACTCGACACGAGAATTTGTTTACCCTTTGCAGCGCCCCATTGGTAGACGAATCTGCGATTTTATGTAAGTAATGTTAAGGCCCAGATTACCTTGAAAAACATTGTTGCCATCCTTCCGATATACTTTTTTGCAAATATCTCAGTTTTTGATAAGAATTGCCGTTTTATACTATTTTTTTCTGTACCTACTCGTGACACCCTGAAGATATCTATAGTCAGAATACAGATTCTTTAATTGTACCTAATTTAAAAGTTGGAAGTTATGCGTTAGGTTATTCAATTATTAAATCGGTTGGGGTAAAAGTTAAATTCAACTTAATTCACTAAATGTAGGTATTCACTGTTTCTAATTATCAATACCAATCAAACATGGGACCATTTCAAAATAATACTTTTTTTGTAATATTTTTTTCAATTTCTTGACTCATTATTTACCTAAAACTCCATCTGTGTTTATTAGAATGAATCTCTATAAAAACGATCACACTATCGTTGACAAACGAAGTGAAAACTCATAAAAACTCAATAAATTGTGTCGTTCATTGCCACATTTAAAGTGTAAAACAGTTTAACGGTATTTTTCTATTTTCTTCTTAATCTTCTATCTGGGTTCTTCTTGGACCTATTTTTTTACCATTTAATTTCAATAACGCTCAACTAAACTCATGTTTATTAATACCTGCTGCATATAAGTATGTAAGCAGGTCTTCAAACATTTATTATTCGCTACGCATATTTTCACTTCCCAATAGGTACACTACGATGATCTCGAGTTGTGTTTAGACCATACTTTGTCATTAATACAAACGGGTCCCACTAATCCATTAACGAACATTTTGTTTTGCTGGGGAAACCAAACGCCGTTTGCATTATGCATGAAGAAAATGAAGACATTATCCCTGATTTTTCTAGTCTGTCCATTTCATTAGTCTCGCCGGACATGTTCTTGATGTCGTCGAACCTATTAATGATTAATTTATGAGATTAATGATCGAGGGCGTACTAAGAGAATATTTGAAATCGCTTTTTCAAAAATTATATCGAATACTCTCTGCAAAAAAATCTACGTTTCATGATTTTTATTTTACAATATTATTAATAATAATATTATAATTATTTAGTTTCGGCTGATCAGAAATTTTTCAGCAACATTTCCCATTGACAATATTTATAATTTAAAACCCCCATTAAACGTACATTTAAATCCACAGAGAGAGAAGCATAAATTTAGAGTACAACATTTTTCTTTCAAAATATATCTCTAGATAGTTCGCAACATTCACTGTGTATTAAACATTCGGACGACAAAAAATGCAACTTATGTGTCATAATGTTGAGAAAAATTAATACAAAAAGTAAATCCTGAATCCTTTTCCAACGATACGACCGACGATCTAAGATTGCTGAAGCTACACTAGCATTTGCTATTTAAATCACAATAAAGTATCTAATAGAAATTTGCTTCAGGTGAATTCCAGACACAGTTTTTATTAGAGGAAAACTACGCAATAAACCTGTTCATGCTTTCAGAACGATGTCTGATTTGCAGTAGCATCAACTTTATTTTTTTATACATCATGTCACAAAGAGAAAATAATGTCTTAAAAGCGGCTCATAAACACGAATAGACCTATTTGGGGCTGTTTTCATATCATATAGAATATATGATAAATAATTCGCGATTCGTCATTTTTCGTTCTATAAATAAGCTGAGCTGAGAACCCTCACCGATCAATTTATAAAAATGTAATTGATTTTTGCATAGGTTTCACATTTTGTTACAGTTATTATAAGTTGAGGAATGTGTCAATTTTTACCCCAAAAAAGTTATTAAGTTGACGTCTTTTATCAATAGTTACGTACATAAAAATTCTTTTTTTGGTTGAAATGTTAATTGATGTTTAATTTATTGGGAGATTTATTAATAAGACAACAATCATATTAGCCATTAAATATACCACTGCTAATCGGAATTGTTATAAATTTAATTTAAATATTAAAAAAGTTCTAGAAAATGAAAATGAAAGTTATTTAGCT